TAATTGTTATATATACGGCCAAACTATTGAATTAAAGGCCTGAATTATAAGCAGGGAATGTAATTGTTATAAGCAGGTTTATCGAAAAATATATAAAATATTTGATTATTTAAAAAATAATAATTTCAAAATCGTGAAGAATAGACAGCGCTTTTAAAAAAAGCGCTGCTAAAGGGGGTAAAGAGAGGCCTAAAAAAGCGCTGCTATAGGTTGGAAAAGGGGGGGGGTCTAAGAAAGCGCTTTAAAAAAAGCGCTGCTAAGGGGGGGGGGGGTCTAATAAAGCACTTTAAGAAAGCGCTGCCAAAGGGGAGGGTCTAAGAAAGCGTTTTTAAAAAGCGCTGCTAAAGGGGGGAGGGGAAGGGGGAATAGGCAGCGCTTATAAAAGCGCTGCTAAAAGTGCTGGTAAAGGGAGCCTATAGCAGCGCTTATGAAGTGAAGTTAATTCCTTAGCAACAAATGAGCTTCGTGATTTTGAGTTTTTAATGTCGATAATTATTTGATTTGAAATATTATCCGTAATTAATGTGGTTAGCAAGCTTTTACAATCCAATGATATGGTTATTGATGTTGCTATGGAAATAAATAACGGGATTTATTTCATTTTTTAAAGAATATAGAGAAATCAATTTTAAAAATGTCATGAATTATGCTACAAAAAATTATTTTTGAATTGAATATTGATCCAATATTTTCTCAAAGACGTATAATTCAAAGAAAAAGAGAGTTTGTCGAGAATTTAAGTACCCCACGAGTTGAGCTATCTGAAAATGAATCATTTAGAGTTAATATTTTCTTTACCTAGTCGATCAAGCTATTGCATCTCTTAATAAGAGATTTGAACAATACCAACAATATGAAAATGTTTTTTGTTCGGAGAGATTTTCACTATGGAGCATTGAACATTGTGAGACTTCCTTTCTAGAACAACGCCTTTGTGAAAGACACACCACAATACTCACCCCAAATTGTAAGGTGATAGGCGTATGAATTCTCCCACTTATAAATGCTCAAGTTTCTATATTTCTAGCCAATGTGAAACTATCACACATACTACTCACACTTGTTATACTTAACATCTTCTTAAAATTTACAATCATTGAATAATACAAGTTTTGAGTCTTGTTGTAGTTATTTTGAAAAGACATTGAAACATAATGAACACTCTAATTTTGATGGAAAAGAATTATGTGCAGGTAGGAAATTTTTAACCTATTGATATATTAAGATTTTTGAAAGGTATGAATTTTTATCCTAATATAATTATTGCATATAACTTTTTTTTACTATTTTTGTGATAATTGTATCGGCAGAAAATAGTTTTTAAAATTGAAATTGTTAAAGTTTACTTGCAGTCTACTATATTAGAAGAAAAGTTTAATATGTTAGCATTGATAACAATAGAGAATGGTTTGTTGGAGAATATAGATTATAGAATATAATTCCTTAATTGAATAATTTATTTTAAAAATGCTAGAAGGGAGGATTTTTTTAAGTAGCTAGAAGTTACTTTGATAATATTGACAAAAAATGACTTCTTTTTTTTTAATATTAATTACATAGATAAATAACTAATTTTGATGTTGTTGATACTATTTATAATTTAAATAAATAATGTTGTTTTTAAATATTTTTTATTAAAAGTTTATTTTTATTATTTGTCATGCATCTAAAAAAACCATGATCGGTATATATATGACTTTATTATAATAAAAACTCTACACGATAAAAAAGAAACAAACTACTTGTCAAAATGGAATAAACACGTGGAAATGCTTTGGACCTCAAGAGACTTAGAGTGACCACACTACCGTTTGCCTTTTTGTCTTTTTAATAGATATTATTTTTGTTTTTAAATAAAAATTATTCTTAAACTTTTTTTTGTAAAAGTAATTTATTTATAATAATTTATTACTTTATTTTATTTAAAAAATAAAAAATAATTAAAACAAAGAAAATTAATTATCTTTTTTAAGAAAAAACTTCCACAAAAAAGAATTAAAAATATATAAATTTAAAAAAGAAAATTGTGTTGTAAGTATTAAATCTCAAATAAATAATTTACATAAATTTAATTCAACAATAATATACTAGTTGAACTATATCATACATCAATATTAAATGTACTAATATTTTCAATATCAAACAAAACTAATAACAAATAAACTTTATTTTACGTAAAATATTTTCTAACTTTTAGTAAATAAATCAAGTAATTTCTACAATATTTGAGGACAATATAGACATTATTCTTAATTTTTTTTGTAAAAATAATTTATTTACAATGATTTATTACTTTATTTTATTTAAAAAATAAAAAATAACTAAAGCAAAGAAAATTAATTATCTTTTTTAAGAAAAAACTTCCACAAAAATGAATTAAAAATATATAAACTTTTCGCAACATGGAATTTCTCACCAAAATATTTCGACACCAACATTAGGGTCGGAGCTAGTAGATAATTCTCGAGGAGAGCATACATTAGTTCTACTCACGTCAAGACGCTTCGGTTTAACGGTTGTAATCCGAGAAGCTTGTGTTACTTTGGATTACCTCCCTTCGCCATCCTTTATCGCTTCATGTGCAATTGGTGGTAACAATCCTGTACCAAAGGCAATTGAGGCTGCAAAAAAGAAAGTGGAAAAGTAACTTAGAAGATGTTGTATGCAAAAGCCTGGATACACGATGTGGATCTCGAACTAATGAGCATATCTAACGGTTTCATAAAAAAACAATCAAGCTTTCGAAACTTGATTAAACAAAGTTCTCAACAATTAAAGGAAAACCATTTACCCCACGTCAGGATGCAACTGATAGATTCACGAGCAGCACGTCTATGCACCTATCGGGCTGTAAGGGCTTGAACGTAGGTGTGGCTGACAACATTAAATGCCGAATTAGAGTCATATCCTGCTCACATAATCTAACACCTATTCACAACCACAAGGATACAAGTTAAGACTGGGACAAGAAAATTCACAAGTCACCTATGCATAAACGATATGGTGCATATGCATAGTAATCACTTCAATATTAGATGGTTGTAGCTATTAATAGCAGTTCCCAATTGGATACATAGCTTAACTTGGACTTCGATCATTACACCGACTACGCGTTCCTTTGTTTTTCCAATCACAGGGTATGCGACGGAGAGAGGAAAACGACAGTTAAGCTTGGTTTTGGAATTTAAGGGCTTTTGTTACAATTCCACCTGGCCCGTTTCCTCTGTTTTTTTAAAAAACTTTGTTTCAGTTTGGTTCAAGATGGGTCGTGCTGGGCCCATGGCATTCCTACTAACATCACCCCTTTTTTTTAAAAAAGAAAAATATAATAAATTAAAATGATGATCGAAACAACTTAATTAAACACAAAGCCACAAACAAATACACAAGCTTAACAAATTAAATTATTTAAGATAAAGATCACATACCTATAAATAGTGACACAACACAAGATAATACTTAGGATTTGAGAAAAATGCAAGATCTAATTTAGTCTCTCAAAAAAATAAAAAGTAATTTCTAGGCTTTGAAAAAAATAATCCAGACCCAGTCCTATTTTATATACTTTTCATTTGATTTATAAAAAGTAATAAAAATAAAAGAAAGATAAAAAGAAGAAAAAATAATAATAATTTGATAGTTTGATAAAAATGAAAATAAAGACAAAAGAATATAAATATTTTTATTTATTAAACGATATAAATATCCTAAAGAAAAAGTATTAAGACTTCTTATTACATAAATATTTTTTTCTCTTGTTTTTAAACTCGTATATTTGCGTTTTATGAGACTTAATGAAGGAGCTTAAAATTTAATTAGTTTAAAATAAATAATTTTTCATCTCTTGCACAAAATGACACCAAAATTTGAAATTTTCATCGGAGAATCAAATTTTCTTCGATTGAAAATAAAAATTTGGATGAATTTTGTGGTGCCCGGGCAGGCCAAACGGGAGGCCACGGCGAGGCCGCGGTTCGTCGCGAGGGGGAAAACGGATGCAAAAGTGAGGCCTCGGGCACAAAATGCAACCAAAATTTGAAATTTTCATCGGAGAATCAAATTTTCTTCGATTGTAAATAAAAATTTGGATGAATTTTGTGGTGCCCGGGCAGGCCAAACGGGAGGCCCCGACGAGGCCGCGGTACGTCGCGAGGGGGAAAACGGATGCAAAAGTGAGGCGTTCCCGCAAAATTCGGCGGATTTGGAATTTCCAATCGGCGAGGCTAATTTCTTTTGGTCGAGGATCAAATTTTGGGCGGTGCCCGGCCTGGCCGTACGGTCCGGACGTGGTCACCGACCGTCCGCGGCGTGGAATTTTGCCTAAAAATTGGGCAAAACTACCACGCGCGCGACTTAGACTTAGACTTAGACTTAGACTTTGACGATGACGATGACGATGACGCGCGCGCGTGCGGTTGTTCCAATTGGCCTAGTGCCTTGGTTTTGTTTTTCATGCTTAGCGCGGCGGAACCGGCGTTGTTGGATGCTTCCACTTGCCTGCATGCCTTGGCATGCGGGGTGTGGTACGTTCTGCGATGCTGGATCTTGCTGACGCGGGGGCGTGTGAGTGGCATTGCGGATGTATGTGTTTGCTGGCTCTGTGCTTTTGCACCGAACGGCGAACACCACAATCCTAGTCGTTTTTCATCGTGTGCATTATTTTTGGACGTTACTAAAATGTTATGATTGCACCGCAAGAGACTAAGGGACAATGAATCACCGCTTACTTTTTTGTTTGCTTAAAAGATTCTATTTTCATTGATAAATATAAATGTTTTAAAATAATATTTTTTTTCTTTTCAAATTCCTATCTAATTTTAAACTATATTGAAAAATACTATATATTTTTGTAGAAAATAATAATAAATAAGATTTTTTTTTTATCATTGTGTATCTATATATATCGCTCCTTTTCTATCTATTTGCTCACAACATAAGCTTCCTTCCTTGAATTGAAACACAAAAATATCCTCCACGCTACTAAACTTACTACACCTAAGATGACAAAACCAGGTTACATAAACGCTGCTTTTCGTTCATCTAAGAACAACGAAGCTTACTTTTTCATCAATGAAAAGTACTTGCTGATAGATTACGCTCCAGGAACCACCAACGATAAAGTTTTGTATGGACCAACTCCTGTTCGTGATGGTTTCAAATCACTCAGTCAAACCATATTTGGAAGCTACGGAATAGACTGTAGCTTCGACACCGAAAACAATGAAGCATTCATCTTTTATGAGAACTTTTGTGCTCTCATAGACTATGCTCCACATTCCAACAGAGACAAAATCATCTTAGGTCCTAAGAAAATTGCTGACGTGTTTCCTTTCTTCAAAGGAACCGCGTTTGAAACCGGAATAGACGCGGCATTCAGATCAACCTTGGGCAAAGAAGTTTACTTATTCAAAGGAGATCATTATGCTCGTATAGACTATGGAAGCAACAGTATGGTTAATAAAGAAATCAAAAGCATTAGCAACGGGTTTCCTTGTTTCAGTAACACAATCTTTGAGAGTGGAACGGATGCGGCGTTTGCTTCTCACTTGACAGATGAAGTTTACTTTTTCAAAGATGATTACTATGCACGTGTTAAGGTAACACCAGGCCGAACAGATGATAAACTTTTGGGTGGTGTGAGGAAGATTGTTGACTATTGGCCATCTCTTCGTGGCATTATACCTCTTGAGAATTAACCGAGGCTGTGATAGTTTGCTGCTATGAAAATTAAGAATAAAGATCCTTGTTGTTGTTCTTGTTGATGTATGTTTTTTCTTCTGTTGTTTGCTTATGTTTCTTGATGTAATAAAAGTGTGGTTCTTGGATGTTTTCCACACATTGTAAGCCCTACTTAAGGTGAATAAAATAAAAACCTATGGCACTTAAAAACCATAGTTTATACATTTTGTGTTAAGTGAGTTTGTTTGATTTGTAAATGAATGAATATGTTTGACAATTACTCAATTATTAGTGTAGTAACAGTATGTTCATTGGCAGAGCTTCTAGGAAATCTCAATTGGAAGCATTATAAAAAAAGAAAAAACATATTGACCACACTTAAAAATGTAAAACCAATAGGAAACAGATAAGTGTATAAATTAATAATATAGTTAATATAGGTTATGTGGTATAAAAATGATGAGAAAAAATACAAGAGAATGGTCAATAATAAAGATGTTAATGAGGTTTATAAATATACCATTGAAATGAAATGTGTAGTGCAAGTATATGTTGATCATTCTGTTAAAGGCATAGTTGGAATTAATATTGAAGAAGATGAACAAGGTGATAAAATTAATGTTGAAGAAGATGAACAAGGCGATGAAATTAATGTTGAAGAAGATGAACAAGGTGATAATAGAATTAATGATGAAGAAGATGAACAAGGTGATAATAGAATTAATGATGAAGAAGATGAACAAAGTGATGGTAAAATTATTATTGAAGAAGATGAACAAGGTGATGATGGAATTAATGTTAAAGAAGATGAATAAGGGGATGGAATTAATATTGAAGAAGATGAGCAAGGTGATGGGAATAATGTGGAAGGAGATGAACAAAGTGATGTTAAATTAGATGATAATGATGATGGTAAGAATGAAGCTGCTGGTATATTATTTCATGATAGTGAGGATGAAAGGGATCTTGGGTTAGATGATGATTTTGGCATAATTGGTAAAGAAGGTGATGTCAATGGGAAAAAAGTTTGGGTAAAATGTGTTGCAAAGAAGCACTGGCACACTCCAAAAAAAATTGTGAGTGGTTTTGATAATATTGGTTCATCTAGTTTTGTGGACAATGTGATGGAGATTAACTATGTTAGTAATGAGCTTGGTAGTAGTGACCTAGATGCTTCAGATCATGAGAAGGAACCAAGGTATGATAAGTTTAGAGTGGAGGAGTTGGACGAAAATTATAAGTTCAAAGTGGAATTGAAGTTTTTATCACTTGGTGAATTTAAGGAAGCAATTAGTGAATGACCAGTATTGAATGGGAGAGATAAGATATGTAAAAATGACAAAGTTAGAGTAAGGGTAATTTGCAAGGAAAAACATGGGTTTTTGGTACTTGTAAGTAAAGCTGGAAATAAGTGCACATATAGAATGAAAATATGGTTTGATACTCACACGTGTGCTAGGGTATTAAATAACAACTCAACAAATTCCACGTGGGTAGCTAAGACTGTGGCGGCAAGGATGGAATCTTCTAGCAATGTTAAGATTCATGATATTTTTTATGAAATTATGAGTAATTTTTCTGTTGGAATAACTATGAACAAGACATGTAAGGCTAAATAAATTACAAAACCTATGGTTGAAGTTGATGCGACAAAGAAATACAACTTGTTGTGCGGGTGCTTTATGTAACACCTTAATTACCCGTGCGATAATTATAATAAAAATCATAGTAAATTGAAAATTAACATGCAATTTGGATGCTACAATTCGACATACACATGTTCATGCTATTAGACATATAACACATATAAAGTTCACAATTGTATAATAATAATAATAATGCAAATTCACATGTTCAACTTCAACGGAATCATTAACAACGAATATTCAAAACATCATTATAAGGTATTATAGTTAAACTAAACATCAAACATAACAAAACACAGAAACATTCTACCCCCGGTGTTACACATCAGAGCAGACGCCAACTCAACAGAAATAAAAGGAAGAGAACCCTCTTCCATTCACATCTACGTCTCTATTGCGGATTATCTGCACGATGTCCATGTGAAGGCAACATTCGAACAGAAGGGGTGAAATATCACAATTATATAAACCAATGCCTGCTAATAAGTAATCATCATATTATTACATGCACAATCACCCATTCCACCAATCACCATTCCACACAAATCCAAACACAACATCAAAATAATTATGTAATGCAATGAGACTCAACAACTCGACTCAATGCATGTGGTACCAAATTGTGAACTCTCAAGTTCACTCGCTTTGATCCCCACCTACGATCTGAGCACAACAAAATCATTACCATCCTTATAGGTAACGCTTCACTATTCCATCACCATAGAAATTAGATACTCGCACCCAATCCATCACCATAGAATTGAGGCTCACAAAAACGGACCACCGTCCAACACCATGAATGCATGCAACATCATATACATCCAACAACAACAATGGGTACCATGACATTCACCATAGCCAGGTACTACACCAATGCTGGCCACTATGCACCAAACACATACTATAAATAGTCAACAATAGTAATGTAATAGTATAGCAAGCAACAACAATGCATTTCCGAATATGTCACACCATAACATAAACACTACAATGCATTTAACACCATCACACATCAATTAATTCAAATTTAACTACTACAATCATTTTTAAATTAAAGTTCGTCATGTCAGCTTCTTATATCTTCGAACGGACACCCAAATTAGACACCCGAAACTCAAGATATGATTTTTCAAAGTTTTTCACATTTTCCTCCCAGTGTAATCGGTTACACCAAATGCAGTAACCGGTTACACCCCTGTAACCACGCCACTGCTAGCCACTATTTTCATAGTGTAACCAGTTACACCATTTCTAATAACCGGTTACACCTCCTCAATTTTTCCCAAAAACACAGTTTTTCAACAGTGTAACCGGTAACACCATTTCTGGTAACCGGTTACACACGTAGCAAAATCACTTTTCTGCTACTTATCAGTACAAAAATCACTTTTTTATGCATCCCAAAACCCCACTTTTCTTACAAAATGAGTATTCCGTTATTTTACTCATAAATCACTTTTTATAAAAGTCATAAAAACCCAATTTTTCTCAAGAAGCTCATATACTCGAGTTCCGACTCAGACTCGCAACAATTTACAACAACACACATCCATCATCATGCAATCCACCCAATACATGATTTTAAAAACATCAACACATAATTCATCAATAAGAATATTCCAAAGTACTTTTTCAAACATTTCATTATTGATATGCATTTCAAAATTGGTCCTTGTAACTGAAATGTATTTTAGAATTGATCCTTCTAACTGATATTAATTTTGGAATTGATCCTTGTAATTGCACAAATTAAAACTATTTTTCATTTTCTTACTGATTTGCATGGGTTGATCCTTATATTTGAAGAAATGTTTGGAAAGGTGGAGCACATGCTCTGTCTTAGGCATTTATATGCCAATTTCAAAAATAAGTTTAGGGGAGGCACACAGATTAGAAACTTAAAGATAGGAGCTGCTAAAGCAACATATATTTAAGCTTAGGATGCTAATATGAAATAATTGAATGCTATTAATGTGAAGACTTGGGAGTGGGTGTCCAAAATACCTACCAAAGCATTGTGTAAGCATACATTTTATTTCTATTCCAAATGTGATATTCTTATGAATGATGTGTCTAAAGCATTTAATATCACAATATTAGTTTCTAGAGATAAACTAAACTTAACCATGTGTAAATGGATAAGAAAATATTTGACGAATAAAAATTCTAGTTTAAGAGAAATAGTTAATAGGCGGCAACAAATAATAGTTCCTAGACATAGACTTAGGTTAGATAACAAAGTTGAACATGTGGGTAATTAGGTTCCAAAATGGTCCGTTGAAAATATATGGCAAGTTGAACATGTGCATACCATACATAGTTTCATTATTGACACTTCAAAAAAAAAGTACGTGTAACTTTTTTGGAGTTATTAGGCATCCCTTAGAGAAATGTCGTAGCTACATTAAGGTTTAAGAACCAAATCCTTGAAGAATTTGTGGATGATTATTACTCCAAGGATACTTATATGGAATGCTATAGTTTTAATGTAAGTCGTATTATTAGTGGACAAGATATGTGGATAGAGGTTGACATTGAAGAAATTCTACCTCCAACATACAAAAGAGGACTTGGAAGCCAAATAAATTATGGATAAGGGAACCTTATAAGGACTCTAATAAGGAAAATACACAAACAAGTTATTGTTGCATAAGATATGGTATACATGGACATAATGCAAGAATCTGCGTTAATCTTTGTTTTATTAAAATATAAATTTTCTTAGTTTTTTATTATTTTCGTTTCAATCTACAAATACAAAGTTGTTGGGAAATTCAATAGCTTTTGCATCATCATCCTTTTAAGTCTTGGTGAAGATCAAATGTTATACTTTGTTGAATACTCATATGTATGAAATATATTTTCAATGACTTTGCTTGCATATGTTTATGGTAAAAAAATTAACAAATGTTATATAACGAAAATAATTTATCATGTTATAAGACAAGAGATTATGTAAGGAACACCAACTTGAATCAATATTTTTTTCTGCACTTGCAATCCATCCCAGAAATTATTTTCACACTTTATAAGTTTCACTTTTTCAATCTTAATGTTTTCATTATAAGGAACACCAACTTGAGATTATGTAAGGAACACAAACTTGAAATTAGAATTGGTTTTTTGTATATATTTACTAGATTACTAGTATCATCTATTAATATAAATAAAATGGTTGATGACCATCTTTTGAGATAATATGCTACATCACTCCATTGGTATCAATCAAGTTACTATTTTGAATAGTCCCCCCTTACATGAAGGACCAAACCCTATAGCTCTTAACACATTCATTAATATGATATTCTCTAAGTGTTTATATTTTAGTAGTTTTTGTTGGTGCGCAAGAAGAAGAAGAAGAAGAAGAAGAT